CGTTTAATCGAGCACAGATTCGCCCCGTGTTTCCTTTAGCAAACTGAATCGTTTCCAAGAGATAGAGGAATTGGTGTACGTGCTGCGAATGTAGATTTTTATTCTCGCGTCCTTTACCCCTTTTGCGTTACCAACCCGTTTATTACATCCTTTATCGACGATTCAGCGATTTTCATCTTGGTCTTAGCTAATTCGTCTCGTCCTTATATTTTCACACTTTTGCTTCGTCTTCCTTTTACGCGAGTTTTTAGGATGAAAAAACGAGTTCGAACAATTTTTCTACATTTTTTTTTTAATAGATTTTTTACCTCTCGAATTTTCCCTTTCACAAGGGCACAATTTTTTTTCATGAAAAGAAAAAATTCTATTCCGAGATTTGCGTCACGTAGACATACCGATGGTCGTGTATAAGCTCTGGTCACTGGAAGTCTCTCTTCCGGTAAACCTTAAGATTAGCTCGTTGACAGAGGAGTGGGCCCATTTGATACGCCCACCGACAAAGAGACACAAGATTTTTAATACCCAGGTTAGGGTAGTGAACACAAGCATCCTGAAAAAGGGGAGCCTTATTTATTCCTCGTATTGGGCATTTTTCTGGATTGGGCCTTCTTGGTACACTGGGCCCTTCGTTCATCTATGTCGTGGTCATCTAACGGGCGTTCTCGAACCATGCATCTCTCCATATAGGTGCAAAGTCCTGAAAGATGTTCTCTACAAGTGGAAAAGCAAGGAAAACCATTTCTCTTGGGATTATATCCATCTCCTTTCCAGCATGATAGACACAAAGATGGCTCCTCTTCTTGTAACATTTGGGCCCACTCCTCTCGAGGGATATCTTTGAGCCTGATATGAGAAAATAGCGAAGATGCGCCGCGTGGCAACTGCTTTTTGTCCGTGTTATAAACTGTACGGACCTTTTGAAAATTTTATAGACTATTCAGACGCGGAAAAATCGGCTACCTGGGCCCGTAACCGGTTTTTACAGAGTTTGAACGAATTTTCGAAGAACCGAGAAGTTTTTAAATTTTGCTTATGTGTTCGTTATACAAAAAATAGAAAATATATTTAACGGAGACATTTGAGATCACAGAGCCGCCGGCCTATGAATAGTTAATGGAAAAGAGGGCCTTGCGTTATGGCGGACGGTGGTTGCGCGTGGCGCGAAATACAAAACAGTTGTTTTTCTGCGAGAAATTGAAAAGATCGGAAGTATACGTAAGGCTCGAACTAATCGTAAAGCGACACCCTGTTTTCTTTTGCTTTAATCGCGTTGTTTTCTTTTTTTATAGAAAGAAAGAAAGAAAAACGAGTACCTACCATTATTAGAATTAATTGTAATAATACGATTATTTTATTACTATTATTATTCGACTATTATCGTAGCGACGATCTTCTTCTGTTTATTCGTTCTTCTTTTCCAATGTATTATACCCTGTACATAACGGTGTAAATGTTTATCGACGACTTACAATACGAATAGGAACGAGCACTTGTAATTTTCGTAACGACGGATGGGTGGATTGGTGGATGATGCTGTTACGTTCTTCTTTTCTTTCAATTTTCCAACAGTTTCACGATTCTAACAGGCACATTCGACGCATTGTATAAACGTGTCGTTGATTTTTATAACAGATTATTGTTTAGCCAAATTGGCTTCTTTTTTAAATCGCTTTTATTTCAACAGTCACTTTGCGTCAAGTTTGTGATTTCACCTGTGACAAACAATAAATTATATTGATTCCAAGATCATTTTTATAAATGAAAACTCACTTATTCCTTGCAAAATTTGTAAATAAATTAATCTCAACTAATATACGTTCTATCGCAAAAATTCACACGGAAAGCAGTCACTTTTTATTTTTTGCATTTGTCGAAGCTTACGCTGCGTCGACAGAGGACAGTGCCGTTTTTGAGAGAGTCAAGTGTTTTCAAAGGATGTGTATTTTCTCGCGGACTTGGGTCTGGCTGGAAAGCAAAGACAGGTTTTTCTCGAAAGATTGCCGGCCAGATCACCTCAACGGTAATTGACGCATCGTAAGTCCACACGCGGTGAAAAAAGGGACCTAGAATTTATGGGTCGGTTTCTCGAACAAGGGACTGTTCGTGCAACGTCCGTTTTCCGGACGAAATACTTGGCCTGTGGGCGTTGCGCAATCGGGAAACCGGCCCAACTTTTAATTGGACAATCTTAGGTCCCATTTTTCTCCAAGTCTCATTTTGGAGAAAACGTTCCTCCATCGAACAGAACAACTCGAGACACTGGCAAGGGAGAAACAGTTCGAACCTTGTTCTCAACGAACTATCGGACTTTGTGATACAGTCTTACAAACTGTGTTATTTTAAACAATAAATCATTGTTAGGTGTTAGGAAAGTCTTCAAGTAATGCAATTCCGCAATTGTCGTCAAGATCTACCTTCGCAATGTCCGTATATTGTGTCGTCGCTCAGCCCAACCCGCCAAATTTCTAAATCCTCACGCATATTAGCGTCAAAGTTCTCGAGATTCGCGGCGTCAATGTTCACGTTACTCAACTCTGTCCCCGATATTGGTAAAAGACTGATCGGACACCGAGACTTGAGTGACATTTCTGACATAAGTAGGCAGCTGCGTTCAGATTCACGTGTGCATGGCTTGCTACTCTGCATCTCGCTATAATTTCTGCTACTAACCCCCGGATTTCTATCACTGCTGGAGAATTTAGCGTGAGCAGTCGAAGTAGATTGACTCGGTAGCTATCTCTGTCTCCTCGAGAGAAGACTTGGTCGCCAGAAAATTGGTGGCAATTAATTCCCCGTATGTCCTTGTCAAAATATGCTTCTCATCAGTTATTCCTCCGTCTCAAGCCCATCTCATTGCGATAGTTCGCGTCTGACTGCATCAAATTATGAAAGCCACCGAGAGATCGTTAGAAAGAAATTAGGGAGAAGGCTGGGGTACTTCACGGATATTGCGCGGGAGATAAAGCTAGAATAAAGCAAAATTTTGTTCCAAACAAATACCACAGAATGTTCTCTATCAACGGCACGTTTATCCAACACAAGTGAACTATATGTTAAGAACGAAAGGGTAAAACTGTGAAATAATTGTATAAAAATTTCTGAAAGAAGTACACACTCGTTCGACCATTTTACCATCCATCGTCGGTGTATGATGCGTGCCTGATGGTGTGGGTGAATCTTAATACTGTTAATAGATATACGTACCTAATGTTATTAATTATTAATTAACATTTGATTTGTAATTAACAGAGGCCACGGAACACTAGAGGCTGTGTGAGATAGTCCGCGTCACAGCCTTACGCGATTATACTTTTTCCACGATCTCGCGAACTAGCGTCTAGCCTTTTTCTAAAATTACCAACAAAATAGAAGGAAGAACTAAAAAAAGAAAACAAAAGAAGAAGAAATAAGACACAAACGATCGAAAATACGTCAGGAAACACGGTTCGATGTCGTGGTCGCGACGACTCCTGCGAGATTCTCGAAGCCTCTTGCGTTGCGTGTCCATGCGGACCCTACTAATAAACGCCATAGCGGTCTGAGAAGTAATTGGCTCGAATAAATTAAATTTACTTTAACAATCGTCTGCGTCATTGTCGCGCGTTTCCGATTTCTTTCACGAGCCAATCACCCGTATCCAATTTCCCGTCTCAACTCTGCATTCTACTCCGTTTTTACCTCTTCGCTCTCTATGCAGGGTGATCTATAAGTCACCGAAAATCGGTCCGGCACGGAAGGTGTTAAACGGGAGCGATATTGGAGCATACCACGAAGTTACCATGGCACAGGGACGCGGTTGAGACGATAATACATCGCGTATGACGTCTGCCAAGTTTCTTTGCCTACGGAAACGCTAGACTGTCATGGCGGCCTTCTTAGCGTCACGCGGTCTCCATGGCGACTGAGGCACGCTGCGCGAAGGAACAGTGGAGGGGGAAGCAAGCACGTGAGGGGCCCCTACGTTGGACAGTGCTGCCTCGAGCGGCGGCGGTGCAAAACATAAGAGTATTTTTCGCTTATTTGGCCAAGCGATGACGTCAGAAGCCTCAAATTCGCTTTATCGGACAATTTTTACACTGGTAGAACGGTAGAAATTTAGTTTCCCTTCTTCTTTGGGAACTTCTGACTTAATACTAAATGTTCCTCGACAATAAACGAAACATGCATTTTATATAAATGGTTTATTGAATTTACAATTATAAATTCACATTCTCGGTTAGTCACAATGGTGTGCGTTATAATTTGGACGTTTAGATATATTTTTTTTAATTATTACTTTTACTCGACGAAACGTTCGTATAATTTTACACGAAGATCTATCTTTCCGGGGTGGTTCGTGGAAGGTGTGTTTGTTATTAAGTACATAGAGAACTTCGTGAAATGAAACTCACGTTGTCTCGTTAGTCACAGTGATATTAAAACAGACGTTTCGATGCAGTACATATACCTTCTATCGGAGAATTTTATCTCTCGCAAACTGAATCTTCCTAAATTCGAAAGAAATGAAGAATTCTCTCTCGCAAAAATGTTTACCAAAAAAATTCGACGAAAACTTTTCGTGATTCTCGAAAACAAAAACAACAGAGTAGTCCAAAAAAAAAAAAGAAAAATGAATTCTCTACAGGATGATTATGTTACAGGGATCTATCGATGATTAGTGTTTCGTCGGTCTCGATCCCGAGACACTGTGCGGGGGAAATGTATTTTTCATGGAATTCGTACGTACGTGTTTCAGTTTATTTATTAAATTATTGTTTGACACAGGTTATCGTGTATGTCGTACAGTGAGAGTTGTGTGTATGGGCAATAGTACCTATCTATAATATAATAATAGAAGTAGAATTAAAGTTAATCCATTTAAATACAAGTGTGCGACACGCGCGATCAAAGAGGCGTAAGGAGAGAGAATGAGATAGATAGATAGATAGATAGATAGATAGATAGAGAAAGAGAGAAAGTTAAATCTACGTCTCGCGTTTCTATATTCATTCTTTTGTTTCTTTTTTTTTTTTCGATTTTATTTATACATATATATTTCCACTCCTTACGCTTCGTGATGCTGACATAATTAGATACAAGGAAGATATAACGAATTGTTGTTCATTCTTTTTTTTTTTTTCATATATTTGAATTTTCTCATCTGATCGTTCATTAATTAAATAATTAGGTCGAATAACGATGATGTTGTGTGGTTTCAGGATGATTGACTTTTTTTCTTCATGATGAATCTTTGCCTTTTTTCGGTATTTTTCACGTTTGGTTTCGTTGCGACGGGTACCGCGTCTCGTTGGCCAAGTATTCCGAATTTACGACGGGTCGTTGGGCGCTGTCGTAACAAAGATCGTGGATAACAACAAAGATGTCACGATTTTCCGACCTTCTCTGTTTTTTTTTTCTTTTCTTCTGTTTTCTTTAGCTCTATCTACGATGTTCGCGGCGATGCGGCCCGTTGGAAACTCTTCTCGGCCTTTTCGATTTACGATGACGTATCGAGGCTCTTCCTTTTTTTTTTGTTTGTTCGTCGTTTGCTCGTTACACCTGTAGACAATCGTGAAGTTACATATAATCCCGAAAAGTTCAGTTGTCTTTGCGCTTGCTGAAATATTTCTGAGATAATTAAGAAAACGACACTCTTCGATGTCTATAAAGACAGGAGAATCGACCGATGTTTTTGCTGAAAAATTCGTGAGAAATGTTGAAATTCGTATTATCAAGAATACTTTTCGGTCACTGAAAATTTCTAAAATATAGGATTAAAAAAAAGTCGGAAACTTACGTTGCCGACGAATTTTTCAAAGAAAATGACCGATTATACACTCAAAATATGCTTTTCAATCGCAGAAAATCTCTCGAAAACGAAATAAAAGAAAAGTCACAAAATTGATAAGAAACTTACGTTGTCGATGAATTTTTCAAAGAAGATTGCATTAAACACATACACAAACATAATACTATACTTCTCAGTCGCGGAAAATCTCTCGAAAATATAGGGTGGAAGAAAAATTGCTAAGAAAATTAAAAAAAAAGAAAAAAACTTACGTCGACGAATTCGTTAATGAAAAATCGTGTTAACGGTGTACGTACGTTTCTAAAGACGACGAGGTGGCGTTCGAAGTGGCAAAGGGTGGGGTGTGTCGATGGTGATGGGGTTATTACAGGTCAGACCTCGTCTCCTGGACGAGGTACACCTGAGATCCGGGCACGCTGGAGGTGGTGACGAAGCTGCGGTGTTTCGCGCGGATCAGAGTCAAATTGCTCTCAGCGGTGTCAGCTCGGTCTTCAGCGGCCTCCAGTTCTCTTTGGAATCTGCGGACCCTGGTTACGCTTTGCTGGGACATGCCTTCCTGTTCTTGCAGCTGCCTCTTGTAGATGCTGACTTTCTGGTTCGCTTTGTCCAACGATTCTTGCAGCAACGCGATGTTCTTCGAGTCCTCTTCAACTTGGATCATCACTTCCTTGATGTTGCGCTCCTTCTTGCGGAGGATCTTCACGGTCTCGGAGTGTCGGCGCTTCTCTTCGTCCATCTCGAGTTCCAGGTCACGGATCTAAGATGATAATGATTTCATTTTTGAGAAATTTTGTACCGGAGTTAGAAATAAAGAGTTCGATAAATTATTGTTGGTATTATTATTGCTATTTTATATCTTCGTTTTAAGCTTATCACCGTTATCCGTAATTTTGCTATTTAATGCTATTTCTTCTTTTTTCCTTTCTTATTTCTTTATATTATTATTATCAACGTTATCGTTATTGTTTTTTGAAGTTCAACTTAAACTCGGATTTTACATTGCTAACTGTTCCTTCTTACTTAACACATTGGCGACGGGGCTCTTAGAGCAGCCCCTCTTAGAGCACTTTTCAACTAATTATTATTTTTCAAAGAAATTTTCAAGAATGTGGTAAATTACTTTTTCGTAAAACGTATACAATTATTAGAATTCGTGAAACATCTGTCACAGCATTTCTGAAAAGAAATCATTTGACGTGAAAATCTCAATGACGTATTTCGCGTCATTCGGAATCCAAGTAAATATCTGAATGACGCATATGTGCGTCATCCGACGCAAATGTGTTAATTATTTTGTTTCACTCTTATGTCTGTTTCTTCCTAATCTCATTTACTTTCTTCAATTTCTTTTTTTTTCGCTTTTCTACTTGTAATATATTTTTCTGTCTTCGATTTGCAATATATGGTGTGTACTATATGTAGGAACCTAGGGAAAAATATTGAGGGACCCAACCGGGAATCGAACCCGGGACCTTGGGCTTAGCAAGCCGAGGCTTTGCGCGCTACGCCAACCGCTCCCTCTGTATTCTCCCTTGAAGGTTTCCTATTTGGGTATGGTGGCCCTGATACTACATATAATACGTTTATACTTGTAAAAAAAAATAAATAAATTTTACTTTGATGTTTTGCACATTCTGTATACTGTATGTAAATTTTGCCCTAAGAAGATGTTGCTTTTTTCACAGCCACTAATCACTATTCACTTACAGTGATGGAAATTTTCATACGTGCAATTCTCGTTGAGAGAATTAATTACGAATACTACAATCTGAACCAGCAACGTTGACGAAATTAACAGACCGAGTTAAAGTAAAATTTCAACTCACCCTAGCCTCAAGTTTGCTGATGATACGTTTGCCACCAACAATGGCGTTCGCCTCGACTTCCTCCAATCTTACTGAGAGGTTCTTCACCTCGATTTCGAGGGACTTCTTGATGGCCTCGATTTTCACGATACGCTCCTGTTCCTCGTGCAGGATTTCGACGGTGTGCTTCAGCTCGTTCTGCACTCTCTGGTATCTCTCGTCGCTCACTCTCAGCTCCTTGGTCACCTCCTCGTAGTCACCGGCAAGGGTAGCCAGTTCCTGCTCGAGTTTCGCTTTCGACGAAGCGATGTTCACGTTTATGGTGGTCAGCTCGTTGATGCGGCTAACCGACTCCTCGTAGTGCTGCTCGACGGTTCTCTTTGCACGAAGGGCCTTTGGGAACGTAGTGTGTAATTAATTACCGTTCCGAGAGAATTTACATGCTGTCGTCGGTGGATGGAAGTTTAATTAAAAGTGAAATTTCATTCGGTGAAAAATATGAACGAGGTGGAAGAATCTTCTTTTTTCTTTTTCAGGAATTTTGTTCGACGTTGAAGAGGGGTGAAGAAGTTAGACGTTAAATTTGTAGAATCAGGAAAATTTGGAATTTGAGAAATAAGAGTTACAATTTTATCGTGAAAAATATTTGCTGGAAGGATATATTTTTTCGAGGAATTTTGTTTGACTTTGAAATTGGGAGAATAGGTGAAAACGGACGAAGAAGTTGAAACGTGGTACAGTAACTATTATTGAATTAAGAAAATTTGCAACATTCTAAGGCGTTTCGTATTTTTAATAATTATAATATACGAAGTCTAAGAAGGAACGTTTTATTCACTCACTACGAGAAACTTCATATTTGAAGCACTGTGCTACGGTTCAGCGTATTTATAGCGTGTCTAAAACCAATTGGCCGTCGAAGGCTATTGAACGGAAACCCATTTCGTTTCTACATATATTCTCCTATTCTACACGCCTTTCAAGGAATATTTGCATATTTCCAACGCGTCTATCTTATTTCTACGACTAAAATAAAAAATAGATCATTTCTGATCTATCTCAAAATTTTCCAAATTAATTTTCGACGAATTTCCATTTCAAAAGTGCAAAATATTTCAATGAAAACTCCAAAAAATTTCATAACAACGAATCTGCTAAAAAAAAAAAAAGAAAAAAGTTGTCCAACTAGAAGACGTTTCAATTTTTCCCCCAAATTTAAACGTGTGTTTGAAATATCGATCGAAATTTCCATACAAAATGCACTACTGTACACCAATTTACAGGGTGTCTTAAATACAGTAGTGCACACATAAGCGTCCGCATTTTTGCACACTTAAGCGTCCGTCGCTATCCCCAGCAATTCTTGGAAATGGGACATCGGAGTGGAGTTCGAGCGTGCCGAGTGAAACAAAGTAATTCGATATCGACTCCTGAATGTGAACAACTCACTTTTGGTACATCGGTATTCCACTCGGACACATCTCCTCCCTTTTGTTTAGTTAAATTCGCAGAAGTCACCTCCCCACTTATGTGTGCACTACCGTAATATACGTTTCTACTCTTTATCCCTACTGATACAAGATATAAATTATTTTTCAACAAAACACCGAACGAATAACTAAATTAATAAAAGTTTAAGGCTTACAGATTCGTAATTGCCGCGCACTTCCTCGAGCTCGGCCGTCAACGATTGCAGACGTCGTTGACTGATGCCCAGTTGGTCTAGGGTTACCTGAAGCTGGCGTTGAACCTCGTCATAATGGGCTTGGAGTTCCTGCAAAACGATACCGCCACATTTACATTACAAAATTCCTTGCCAAATACCTGTCAACTTCTGTTAACACTTCGAATGCTACGTCAGCCATGTTTGGGTGGCGGTTAAATTTCTGCAAGGGCGGTTACCCGTAGCCGACGATTTTACTTATTGAATCAGCAGAGACTTTACTAAATATAGTATCGTACGATTAGTTGTCATCGTTCTCGCATTAGCAGATCTATTTTTTTCAGTCGAATTTATATCTTCACGAATGGCGGGTAATATTAGAAAGTGGAGATAACAGAATCTATTTTTTTCGTTTGTCATATATCTCCGTGAAGGGGAACG